TGTGATGTGGTGGAGGCACATGGTGGACTCACTAAAGCAACCAGATTTCTGTCGGTTAGGCGGTGGCCGTTAGCTGGATGGCGTGAACACCACTAACTGAATCAAATCCCATTAAGCCATAACAGTACAATCATTCCACGTTCGTCCTATAAATTATTGGACAAAATTTTGTTTTCATCTTATTTGGTGATTTCAATATGTACCATTCACTTCTTAATCATAAAAATGTTATTATTATATAAAATACAATTAATAATCAAATAATAGAGGTTTCTCTATTTGTATTTTTTAAGAGATGAATTTTTAATTTATTAAAGTGAAAGAAGTATTTTCGGAAGGGGCATGATATACTTGCCATCAAAAAAATTTATAACATTTACAACCAACTTAATTATTATTGATTTCCGTTAATCTAACGGTTATAGTTTATTGGAAATAATAATTAATTAATAAATGCGACCCAATAATTTTCAATAAATTATAACCGTTAGATTGACATAAATCAACAGTGATTAGATTAGTTGTAGAAGTGGTAACTTTTTTGGTGCTAACTATATCCTTCATATAAACTAATAATTGACACAGAAATTCTTTTGAAAACAGAACATTTCATATATTAATAATGTATTATTTATGTGTTTATGTTTTATGATGAAAAACATGTTATTTTTTATATTAAAGCTTGTTAATTTAAGGATAAAAAAATCCACTTAAAAAGAAAAAAAAATCTTATGTACTTCTTTTTATTTTCGTATGATTTGGATAAACATGATAATTATCTGTGAGGATGGTTCTTATCTTTAGCGCCCATGTCTGTGTTTTAGATAAGTTTATTTTAAAATATTTATTTTTAAAGTGAATAAATAAAAATACTCAATTTTTATTTAACTTAAATAATATCATCTTCATCATAATCTTTTGAAATTTAAAAATATCTATGCTATTAATATTCACTTTAAAAATAGTTTCAATTAAACAAACTTTTTCCTTATTTTTTATGCCTTTCTTTTCAATGATATCTTTTCTCGAATTTACTTTCTTTTCAGAGATATCTCGTGTTCTATTAATTTACAGTCAAAAAATTCATTTAAAAATTAAATTTGAATATAATATCTTAAAGTTAATCCTTGACCAAATTTCTAGTACATGCTTTTCACTAGGGTGCTAAACGAGCCAGGATCTTACAGGAACCTTCGGCTCGGCTCGTGAAAGCCTGAGTTTTTATGTCTAAAATTGATTGTTAGAAGCGGGCTAGAACTTGTATAAAAGCTCGTTTAATAAAAAGGCCTTAGGCTCCAATTTAAAAGTTCGACCTTGGAGCCTCTCAGGCTGACCTAATATATTAATTTTTATTTTTATTTTATACTCTTTTATACTACTTGTGATAGAGCCCCCTCTCTTTCATCAATCCATTTCATCCCATTTTATTAATTAAACAAACTTTTTGAATGATTTTGTTTTATATTATGCTTTTTGGATACACTTTAAATTTATGAATATTTATGGAATTACTAGTGTGTTGACTGTATATTTTGTTTGGATAAATTTTTGTTGTCTTATTTTGTTTTAAATAGGCTAACAGGCTAAATCAATCTTTAGTTTTTTGTAAATAAGACAGGTCATAGGCTGAAATTATATTTATAACAGGTAACAAGCTTGGTCAGACTGACACATTTAAACACAGGCTTAGCCTTTTAAAACCAAAGCTCAGCTCAGCTCGGCCAGTTAACACCCCTACTTTTCACCCAATGCTTACATAGTTATATATGAATCAAAATAATTTTATTCTAAATCTAAAAGTAAGAGATTAAAAAATAGAATCGTCATAACAAATTAACATACCAAAACAATTGCCCCTTTTGGTAAAATATAAGATGTTAATATGCTTTTAAGTGTAGGATTAATTTATTTTTATTTTTTTGGTAAACAGATTAATCTATATTTAAATGTTAACTTGCTGCCAAAAGCTCATAGAAAATATGATTAATATGTCTTCTGACAGAAGAATCATGGTAGCAGACATATCTTGATAGTTTTCCAATTCGAGTGCTATCAAGGTTATTACGAATAGGGTTGCACGTTATTAATATTGTATTTTCCTTTATTTGTTATTTTCTTATTTTTAACTTTGCTGTTGTAACTAATCTGGTGCTCTTTGGTACCAGGCTGGCTCATGCATGTGCTGAGCACCTTTTTAGCATTCTGTTATTTTTCCTTGTTATAAGTAGAACGTTCCCTTGTACTTTTTACTTACTTGAATGAAGATGAATATTCAGTTATATTTTTTCAGTACCTTTACACGTGATAACCCTGGTCCAGCTACTTGTGAGAGTGTCACTCGTGATAAGTATTGTAAGTGGCTTGGTGACTTTGAGTATAAATTAGGGAGGTATTCTTCATTCAAAACAGATTTATGGGGTGTCTTTGAAGGGTTAGAGATGTCTTAGAATAGTGGATACTATAATATCATTATTGAAAGTGATCGAACAAGTGTTCTTCGTGTTTGCTTTCATATTCATGCCAAATAAGTCATATTCATATATACTACTTTATTTGAACTTTGATTTAATCGTAAGTTGTTATATTTTTTTATTTTATTTTTTTGTTAAACAAGTTGTTATATTTTAAATTGTTGTTTCTTTGAACATGTGAGCCATACTTATTGGAGCATAATTCTGGCTGACTCCAAAGTCCAAACTTCTTGAATAATGATAGTTGAACATTATGCAATGGACCACTGTAAATGCATAACAACTAACTCTATAAATGAAGTATTTTCATTAAGCTTTAAACTAGAGTTTATTTCTATGAAATTCAATCTGACAACTAAGATCGTGATTCAGAATTGTTATCTAAATCTTCAAATTTAAACTAACAATTAGTGAGTATTTGTTTGAACATTTTACATTTTTCGTTTGGATACAAGTTTTTTACATTAATGTAAACTCAAAAACGGAAAATTAAAATTTTAAAAAAAGAAGAAAAAGTAATTAGATTAAAGAATAATTTAAGATTAGAATTAAAAAAAGTAAGTTAGGAATAACATATATCATTATTTAAAAAAACTAAAATAAAAAATCAGGCAACTCCCAAAATAATTATATATGAAGTTAATAAGTAAGAGTGCACAAATTATTGAAATATAAAATAAAAGAGTATAAGAGTTATGTTTACATTAAATTGGAACCCATTTCCTTTTTTTTTGGACATTACAGGGAATGTAACCGCATACCTAATACACCCTAAACACACCCAACACCACTAGACTATCCCTAGTGGTGCTTGGAACCCATTTCCTTACTTTTAAGATTATAATTTGATTGATTCTACCAACTAAATTGGTGGTTAATTTGAGGTGAAACTAAATAATGTAATAAAAGATAATCAAATAAAACATGGAACCAAATTAACATCCAACCAATCGATTTAACAAGTAAATTTTAAAATTTTTCATCATAAAAATGCTTGAGAATATCTATAACAGAAATACGATAAAACTAGCCCTGCATCATTTTAAGATGACGATTTTGTCTTTTATCTTGGATTACGAATTTGTTTGAATTAAAAAGTGTCCACAAGAGATTTGATGGAATATAATGGGAAAAACACTTCTCTTGGAGAAGTGTTTTCTCCTATGGGTGACCCTTAAAATATTGTGCCTCACTTTTTTAATATCTGCATAAATTTCGGAATCTCTCCTGATAAAGGGAAAGTATAAAACCCATAAATTATAGGATAATAGCATTATCATATTATAGAAAAATAGTATTACATTATTTCATAGGTGGATCTCATGATAAATTTTTCTCTCGCCTTAATTTTTTTTTTCTTTTTAAATTTTTTTTCTCCGGAGGAAGTAATACTATTGTCATGTAATAGAAAATAATATTTAGAAATTTGAGCCTTTGTGGTCTCTCAAGAAAGAATAGGGAGGAGAGAGGAGAGAGAAAAAAAAGAAAGAAGGAGCAGGGAATAAATTTCTCTGTAATAGAACCCATGATGAGGGGCATGATGATGAGAGTCACTTATATCGAATGCGTATAGAAAAGTGGTTAAACTAATAGTTAATATTTCATTAAAAAGTAATTCTATGATTCTCAATTTCTAATTATCAAAATAACAAAATTTAACTTCTATAATAAGGATCATAATTCATAAGTATTTTTTATAGACTAATTATAAATTGATCTAAAATTCTAAAAATAAGAAAAATTCCTAATATAAATATAAAAATAATTTATTTCTAAAAATAAATAAATAATTACAAAAATAATTCAAAACACAATACAAATCTTATTTCTCAAGTTATGTCAAATATATTGTTTTCTTCTTTTGCTAAATAAATCACAATTTTATCTATTATTTTATTTGAATTTACATTTGATTATAATTGATTATATTTTAAATTACTATTTTTTTTAACAATTAAACCATTGATTCTGTTACCAAAAAAAAAAAAAACCATTGATTCTGAACTTTTTTGAATCAATGATTAAAGAGACAGGTTATAGTTACAACTTTTTTTTACAATCTCTTACAATTATATATCATAACTGTTGATTTTCACCAATCAGGTTATGATTTTCGCAAATTAAATTATTAATTAATTATAAATTCATAATAAATAACAACCGTTGATTGACAGAAATTAACAATTATGATATATAATTGTAAGAGATTATAAAAAAAAATTAGAAGTATAAGCTTCGTCACGATTAAAATCATATAAATTACAAACTCCACCTAAGATCATAGTCGGTTGCAGAAAACACCAAAAAAACTATACACCTAGAATATGACGTGTTTGAAGGATAGAGCGAGTTCAATAAGTCCAGTACTCTCGCGGTTAACTCACGCGCGCACAAAACCTATGTAAAAAAAAAAAAAAAAACAAGTCATAGAAGTCTCAATCCAAACTCGAGAGTCTTAAAACATTTGTTGCTTCTTCTCTTCTATTCTCTCTCACTTTGCCACCCCACCAAGAAAAATCGATCCTTTCTTCTCTTCCATACTTCTATTCTCCTCTCTCTCTCTCTCTCTCTCTCTCTCTCTCTCTCTCCACATTCCTTCATTCAATGTGATGCCATCGAAACACTGAGGGGCAGTTGAACCTTAAAACAACCCATATCTGATTTTTATGCATGTATGGGTATGTCGCCATTAATAGTATCACTGATTTACTTATTAACAATTTCCTCTCCATATAATCATTGTAATGAATCAAGGTTTCGCGTAGTTCTTACTCAAGTTGTTTTCTTTTCTATCTTATTGGTATCAAGTCCTGCTCTATGCATAGTGCTTTTTGTTTCCAATGTTTTCTCGGCATTCTGAAAATTATCAGATTCAGTTGGGAGGAAGATAGATGTCAAATGCGTCCTTTCATTTACATATGTTTGATGGGAATGAGTTTCTGGTCATAATTGGATCATGGGGTTTCTTAATAACTAATTTAACAAACTCTTTTTTTTTTTTTTTTGTATTTTCCTTTCTCTATTATCTTTGTTCTGGTTTTCTTTTTTTAGCTTACTTTTGTTTATACTATCTGTCAGGATGACGTTGGACAGGTTGGTGACTCCAAGGAGCTAAACAACTTCTTGTTTATGCTTCTTGCATCTGGCATTAGATTATTGAGTAATACACGTTGTTCGTTTTACAAAAAAATTTAAGCTTTTGTGGGGAATTTTGTAGTTTGGGGATACAATTTGTAGCTTTGGTTGGCTTTCTGCTGTGTGTTAGTGATTTGCCAACATGTCAAAATTTGAGGGTGTTATCGTCTCCGATCAATGGCTTCAAAGCCAGTTTACGCAGGTTGAACTTCGCAGCCTGAAATCAAAAGTAAGTTCATTTCATTGCTTCACATTTTGGTCCAATTTGATTATTATAATAAATTTGGTGTCTTACATGCTTTTTTATTTGGCCCTTCTTTCTGTTGATGTAGTTTGTCTCTTTAAAGAATCAGAATGGCAAAGCCACATTTGGAGATTTGCCACTTTTAATGGTGAAACTAAAGGCATTCGGAGACATTTACAACGAGGATGAGATTAGGAGTATCTTGGGTGAGTCAGGCACTGACTTCACCGGTGATATCGATTTTGAAGCCTTCTTAAGGGTTAGTATTTTAATGTCTTTGACTCTTTTGTTTTTCATTATTATTAGATGACTTTTTTCATGTTGTGAAGTTAAAATAGCGGGATGTTACGTTTAAATTAGTTGCATTAATGAAATAGTTTATGTGCTATGTAACATTAAATATAATGTATGTTAGTTAATGGATGAAACCATTCAATTTATTATATTTGTCATGCAGGCATATTTGAATTTGCGAAGCCAAGTTGCAGCAAAACAAGGTGGTAGGAAGCACTCTTCATCATTCCTTAAGGAAACCGTAACCACCCTTCTTCACACAATCAGTGAATCAGAAAAAGCCTGCTATGTTGCTCACATAAACAGCTTCCTTGGTGATGATCCATTTCTGAAGCAATATCTTCCTTTGGACCCCACTGCAAATGATCTATTTGATCTTGCAAAAGATGGTGTTCTTCTGTGGTATATAAGCAGGGTCTGCTGATTTTTGCATTTTAGTTATGTGCATACAAGATTTTAATATATATTGACTTTGATATATGTCATGCTTAATGCAGTAAACTTATCAATGTTGCTGTGCCTGGGACTATAGATGAGCGAGCCATCAATACCAAACGAAATCCTAGTCTTTGGGAGAGGAATGAAAACCATACTCTATGCCTCAATTCTGCCAAGGCTATTGGCTGCACAGTGGTTAACATTGGAACACAAGACTTAGTTGAAGGAAGAGTGAGTTTTAGCAATCTATGCTCCCCGTAATATTTTATTGACGTTGAATTTGGACTTTTAGGTTCTTAATCTTTAGTTTTTGTGACATTATTTTTTGGTTGTTTATGTTGCAGCCTTATCTTGTTCTAGGCTTGATTTCCCAAATCATAAAGGTAAATATACAAACTTCATATATCATTTATTTATTTTTAGTTTAGTTATTTGAATTTGCCTGTATGCTGACATTATTTGTATGTCATCATATATCTTCTTTGGAAATTATTACTTAGTCATTGTCCTCTTTTTTTCTCACTCTCTTGCCGATTTCAGATCCAACTGCTGGCAGATCTCAACCTTAAGAAGACACCTCAACTTGTGGAATTAGTTGATGACAGCCAGGTACTCAGATATGCAATTTTTTAATTCATTCCAATTACATTTTAATCCTGCATTTTTTCAAATTGTATTTTAGGGTGATTGATTAATCCTGCATTTTTTTTGTTGTCTCAGGAGATTGAAGAGTTGCTTAATTTGTCCCCTGAAAAGGTTCTGCTGAAATGGATGAATTTTCATCTTCAGAGAGGAGGTTACCAAAAAACTGTCAAGAATTTTTCTTCTGATGTTAAGGTATATCAGCTCTTCTTCAATAACATTTTATGTTTAGTAATGTTTTATACTGGTTCAGTGGTTTGACTCATTTACGATTTGTTAATTTTGTTTGTAATTATTTTTGTATACTTAGAGTACAACTAGATAAATACGATTTGAGGAAGTGATTTTTTTTTTTAAATATATGTTTAGTATTTATAAATATAAATCTGTTTAATGTCTGTAATATTCTTATCATTGTTTTTTTCTGTACGCACCATTTTTAAATCCACTCTATGAAGACTAAACACTAAACATAAAATTGAGTTTATTCTATAATGTTTTTAATATTGTATATGTAAAAGAAAAATTTAAACCATAAAGTTATTAACAGAATCAATAATTTCTAAAATTTTAAATAATACAGAATTTACTTTTAAGTATTTTAATTCTCAAATAGACTTTGAAGCATGTTAGACAATTATTGGTCTCCTATATTCAAACAATCTGAGTGTTTGTAGTGGATGTTTTGATGAAAATGTTCAAATGCCTTCTCATGAATAATTTTCACAAATTATTGCCATCTACAAAAATTTCAGTTCTTGTAACCGTCTATCAAGCTATTATCAATCCATTATCCTTATGTATTCATGTCTGTTTATTTACAGGATGGAGAGGCTTATGCTTATTTGCTTAATGTCCTGGCACCTGAACACAGCAGTCCGTCCACCTTGGATACTAAGGATGCCTATGAAAGGGCAAATCTGGTTCTTGATCATGCAGAGAGAATGGGCTGCAAAAGATACTTGACCCCAAGGGACATTGTGGAGGGTACCTCTAATCTGAATCTTGCATTTGTTGCACAATTGTTTCAACACAGGTATGAAATGAATTGCATAATTAATTGTATGCAGACAATTTCATAATTTAAATAAATGCCTATATGCATATATGTACTGTGCTTTAGTGAAAGATTCCTTTTTTGGTTTGGGTATCTGTATTATTATTATTATTACTTACCATCGTTATCATTGTTATTGTCATGCATCTGAGTTTGTAGTAGGTAGGATGCAGAGTAATCCATGTAGAAGTCAAGCATTTTAGTTGATGGACTATCTTGAAGTACTTGCAACATGTGTTTATAGATGAAGGATCAGAAATCCATGTAGACGAAGACAATATTGACCTAGACAATCCATTTTTGTTTTCTTACTCTTCAGAAAATACTTTGGTTTAGCAGCATTACATATGTTTATTTCTGGATTTGATCCTTTTCAAGTGCTGTAGTTATTTAATTTGGGCCATGCACAATGCAGGAGTGGCCTATCTACAGACACTAGAAAGATGTCCTATGCCAAGATGATGACAGATGATGTACAAACATCTAGAGAAGAGAGATGCTTCCGGCTGTGGATCAATAGTCTTGGAATTTCTACGTATGTAAATAATCTATTTGAAGATGTTAGAAATGGGTATGTGTTCCTTCTCTTAAACGACATCTACTGACTACTATTTTGTCAAAATATAAAGCCTTATATGTGTAAAACTCTGTATTTTCTGAATCTCAAAACAGAATGACTGAATGAGCCACCTGTCATATATTTATCCACTGAGTCTGTAGAGGCCTTCATTTGCTCTCTTTTTTCCTTTTAAAGTATATATATATATATATATAGGGAAAAGTGTTTGTCCTTTTAAATGACACAACTTATGTCATTTCATTCTCGCAAAGAGGTGAGACCCACACCTTTATTTTTTTTTATCCACTCTCTCTCCTCCTTTATTTATCTCTTTCTCTCACTTAAAATGACACTACTTTACATCCTTTAAAATGACACACACTTTTTCCATATATATATATATATTATCTTCATGACTATTTTCTAGTTTCAGATAATTTTCCTGCTATCCCATGTTGGGAAAAAGAAAATGAATGTGATATCCAAATCTAATTTATAATTAACCAAGTTCTTAATGTGTTTGATTTCTTTTACTTTTTGCAAGTATAGATGGATACTTCTGGAAGTGCTAGACAGGATTTTCCCAGGATCAGTTAACTGGAAACAGGCAACAAGACCCCCAATTAAAATGCCATTCAGAAAAGTAGAGAACTGCAATCAAGTCACAAAAATTGCTAAGCAATTGAAATTCTCACTAGTCAACGTAGCTGGCAATGACATTGTGCAAGGAAACAAGAAGCTCATTCTTGGTAATTCCTTCATCTTGATGTAGCTCCCACACAAGTGATATATGGACATAATTTGCTGTTATTTAGTTTTTTATTTCCCCTTTTCCGAACTGCCTGTGCTTTTGTATTTAGCTCTACAATTGTTTTTCAAGCCCTGAACTGTGCATTTATTTTTAATTTGTTGTCAAACTGAGTTGAGCCATGATAATCTAGATTGTAATATAAATCATTGCGTTGTGCAGCAAAGAAACATGATGTTCATATTTCATAGTCTAAAATAATGTGTTTTATTTTTCAGCTTTATTGTGGCAGTTGATGAGATTCACAATGCTTCAACTGTTGAAAAATTTGAGATCTCACTCCCAAGGAAAGGAGATCAGTGATGCTGATATCATGAAATGGGCAAACAGAAAAGTGAATAGCACTGGCAGAACTTCTCACATAGAGAGTTTCAAGGTTTTTTTTTTTTTCAAAAAAAATTGTGTTTTATTCCCTGTTAAAAATGAGCAAATACAGTAAACAAAAATGATTATTTATATTTACAAAAAAAAAAAAAAAATGATTATTTATTGGTGACACAATTTTTAATGTACTTTTATGTACAGGATAAGAGCTTGTCAAGTGGAATCTTTTTCCTTGAGCTTCTGAGTGCTGTAGAGCCTAGGGTTGTCAATTGGAATGTCGTCAGCAAGGGTGAAAGTGGTATGATTCCTTGCAAAGGTTACCATTTTGTGTTTGACTAATTTGTATGGAGATGAATAGATAAACAGGTCCTTTGTACAATACATAATAGCTTTGCTATTTTTATCATCCCTATTAAATTTGTTTACTTTGTTGCTATTGAAATTATAGATGAAGAGAAGAGGTTGAATGCCACCTATATAATCAGTGTTGCAAGAAAGCTTGGCTGTTCCATCTTTTTGTTACCTGAGGATATTATGGAGGTATGGTTGCCACCAGAATGTTTCATTCATATTTCTTACATAACTTTATACACAATCTATAATATGGCACAGATGCTAAAAAAATTGAGTTGACAATTGCTGGATGACTTTGTTGATCTTATGGCAGGTTAATCAGAAGATGATTCTCACTCTTGCAGCTAGCATAATGTATTGGTGCTTGCAACAACAAAGTGAAGATGCAGATTCTTTTCCTTCACCTGCTGACACTGCTACTACCACCACACCTGAAGCATCCCCAGCCCCTTCAGTTTGTGGTGAAGATGAAATTTCCTCACTTGGTGGTGAATTCTCCAACTTCAGTGTTGATGATGCCACCTCTGACACAACAGTCTCTTCACAACTTGAGTCTGATGGTGTTCCAGTGGTAGATGAGCTATTATGAGTCTAGTTTGTAAAGCTTTACACTACATGAGATGAGTCTGAAATGTTTTTGTTAGAGCAACAAAATATAGCAAAGCTCAAGATGCACACCTCCTACAAGGTGTCAACCTCCAAAAAAAGTTACGAGTAAATATTCTTTCTGGTCCTCAGCAAATTTTACGATGTCCGATTTAGTCCCTAGCAAATAAAAAAGTTATTCGTAGTCCCTAAGAAATTCAAAATGGATTTATTTAATTAAAATCGGGATTCCTCATAAATTCAAAAAAGATTCGCATTAGTCCCTCAAAAGGACTAAAATGGATCCATTTTGAATTTTTTAGAGACCACGAATAACTTTTTTATTTGCTAGGGACTAAAACGGATATCGTGAAATTTGCTGAGGATCGGAAAAGGTATTTACTCAAAAGTTATAGAATAGATGTGAATAGTTTGTACAAAAATATCTTGTTCTTTGGAGAATAATGCTAAATGAGAGGGAACAGAATAAAGAATAGAGAGGGAAATGAAAACTGATCTATAGGGGTATATATAATCAACTTCACCCTTGTTGCTAGGTTCTTCTTTAGGTAGCTTCCACTATTGTGTTTTGTATTTTTTTATTCATTACTTATTCATGTTCATGCTTCATTATAAGCTTTAGGCTCATATGAATGTTTCTCGTCTGAAGCTACACGCATTTCTCTATTATAATAGGGTAATATTGAATGTGTTATCGATTATTATCGTGACAGTAGTCTTATTCTCTCTTAAATAATTGCATATTAATCACTGAAATAAGTTTTAAGTTGTTGGCCTTCGTTAATGGTTAACGGCTAAGATCACATAAGTGGCAAAGTTCTTTCTATCAAATTAAATTAATGAGCCTTTTTCTGTTTTTGGCAATTACATATACTTTTCCGTTATATTTTGAATGCTAATCAATTTTATTTTTTTTGGTAGGTAATGCTAATCAATTTGCTTCGAATAATAATATAAACAAAATAGTAAAACTATTTTCAGTCTAGTTTATTCAACATATTACACATATGAGAAATTACATTGACTTTTGCTCTATTGAATATAATTCTAAATTCACATTGCTATAAGAACTAGCCCTTAGGGCATGTTTGGTGCATAGTATAGGATAAGGCCTGATAGTATAAGACCTGATAGTATAAGGTCTGATTGTATAAGACCTAATTGAATTTTAATACTATCAAGCGTTTGACACGGTATTGTAAAAAATAATATATTGTATAAGATAATATCATCTAGTATTTGGTAATGCACTGTATAATACTATATATGATAAAAATAAATATTTTTAATAAAAATATCCTTTAATAAAGAATTAATATAATTCTTCAAAAAATGTCATATGATATTAATAAAGAATTAATACATTGAAAAATAAATTTTTATTTTAATAGATTAATAATAGAATAATATATTAATTTTTGAGAATTACATTGGTCAACAATGTTAATACATCAATCTCTTATCAGATCTTATTCCTCACCCTTAGGCCGGATTAAGTTATACATCATTTTGATGTATTAAGGAATTATGCTGTATAAGCTTATACTATACAGTGGGCACACCAAATAACTGAAAATGTCATAACATATAGTATAAGCTTATACTATCATGCCTTATACATCACACCAAACAAGCCCTTAGTATTTTTGGACGAAGTAGCTATACCTCATTTGAAAGACATGTTTCTGTATTTATACTATTTTTTTATTTAATTTTATATTATAGATGCAATGTTTTATTTTCTTTATAAGCCTTCCAGTTCAGATGAGCTGGAAAATGTTTTATTTTTTTTGCTACACACATTCTGTAGCCAGCCCAAGCCTGCCTATTGAACAAATTTTGGGGGGAAATACCTTGTATGTTGTAGACCTTATGACCTGAAATGTGAGAAGGGGAAGGGCAATTCCCATATATTTTCCACGCCATGCGCTTTGAATCTCTCACTTGCTTTTTGTATTTTTCTCTTCAACAAATATTGACATCCACAAAAATAACCTTCTTTATGGATGCTTTAAATCTGTATTTCATTCATGCTGCCTTTATCAGGGATTGAGTTGCCATGATGTTGGTGTTTGACTTTCTAGTACATTGTTTGATTCCTTTGAATTATGATGATTTAAGCCCTATCCAAAAGTACGAGGCAACCTGTTTAAATGGAAAACTGTTAGAATTGAATATTCATACAAATGCAAGAGACAACTGTATCTATAAAAAAAAAATTTCTTTTCTATTCTTGCTTACCAGCTCTTTCTCTGTTTCTGTTGATCTACATTTCATACAAACTATCAAAGGCTATTTATAAGCTATAAAACTGACCAACATAACTTCACACATAACACTCTCATTACTTTATAACTGATTCATTAATATTCTAACTGACATAACTGACTCATTAATATTCTAACTGACATAACTGACTCATTAATATTCTAACTGACATAACTGACTCATTAATATCCACTAACACAAACCTAAGGACATGACTCTTCACCAGAAAACTCTTCACATTTCTATTTTCTATTTTCTATTTTTATCTCATTAAAATTTAACCCAACAAAACTCTCCCTTAAATTTTAATTCTTCTTTTTTGAATTTTCCACCGGTTGATTTTTTCCGCGCTGCTTCCATGTTGCTCTCCTTTCTTCAATTTTTTTTTTTTGTCTGGCAGTTCCTTCATTGGTGGAAGATAGACAGTCTTGAATTTTTCTCCGTCGACCTCATCCTCTGATATACTTCCACATCCATTCTTACACGTATGATCTTCACACAAGTCATCATATTGATCAGTATCTGTATCACTATAACGTCCCATTAGTTTTACAACACCTATGCCAATTTTAATACTTTCAAATTCAACATGTGCTACATTAATAGCACGTTGGGCCTCATCAACCACAGTAACCCCATCACTCATTGAGTACCGTTGATTCCCATCATCAAGCAAAAAACTCAACGCATCATTTTCTGATTCCGCCCCACGATCTTCTTCTGGTTTACGCTTGAGCCAAAACGATTCCACCATAAAAGTAACTCTAGGCTCCTCATCGCCGGGTTCCCTATCCACAATCACACCTTCCATTTTTTCGCTCTCAGTTTCTTCATCGTCGGGTTCTTCTTCATCAAGTCCAGCTTCAACGCGCCTCATCGATGGAATCTCAGACCACCGTCCTCCAGGGAAATGGTCTCTTTTCGGTGGTGTCGACATCTTCCACTTCCACCATAAATTCAATACAGTCTCCGACTTCTGACTTCCAACCCGAACCGCGCCTATGTCGGTCTCCGACATCAACCTCATCACGCAGGGGTCGAGCTCTTCTCCAAAAGATGAACTCGGTGATTTAGCTGGGATCTCCCCCATCCCGGTTATCAACACGGAACTCGGATTCGCGGTCTCCTCCATGCCGGTCTCCATCAAGCACCTCGACTTCTCAATCTCCTTTCCGATTTTCGACTCTGTCTCCAGACACTGAGGTTGCGCGAATTCTTCTACCTCGTTCTACCTCGACAATGGACTCGTCGTTCCCGTCCTTCTCCGCTTCGATCTCGGCTCCTTCGTTCTCCTCATCTTCTATCTTGGCTCCCTTGGCCGCAGTCATCTCCATAGTCTTCTTCTCCGAGTCGTCTCTTACGCGCTCTGACACGTCAATCTCCTCCGCGGATGCGTTGCCGTTGGCAACCTCAGATTCCGCCATCTCGGTCTCTTCTTCATCCACATCATTCTCCTCATCTTCATCATCATCATTGATGATTTCATCTTCTTCCTCATCAATCAGATCAAACCGTCCAGGCAAGTATTTTGTTACGAAGGCCATTAGAAAACCCTTCCAGATATTATTAAAGTCGTGGCAGTTCCATGTACGGAACCATTTGATTGCGCTTCCTCTGAGTCTTCTCATGGCTACCTGCCATTTGTCATCTTCAAAGGTTTTTTCTCTCCGAAAATATTCTTTTAGACAGAGTAAGAAGACCAATGCTTCATCTTTATCTCCATAAAAGAGTGGCACTTCCATCTCGTTCTTTTCCTCCATAGCCCAAGCTCTGATACCAATTTGTTAGAATTTAATATCCACATAGATGCAAGAGACAACCAGACTTGTGTATCTACAAAAAAACTTTTCTTTTCTATTCTTGCTTACCAGCTCTTTCTCTGTTTCTGTTGATCTACATTTCATACAAACTATCAAAGGCTATTTATAAGCTATAAAACTGACCAACATAACTTCACACATAACACCCTCATTACTTTATAACTGACTCATTAATATTCTAACTGACATAACTGACTCATTAATATCCACTGACACAAACCTAAGGACATGACTCTTCACCATAAAACTCTTCACATTTCTATTTTCTATTTTCTATTTTTATCTCATTAAAATTTAACCCAACAAAAACGCCTAGTTTATAAAAGATAAATTAAATTTTTGCTCAACAGTTTCTTTTACTTATTTTCCGTACAACCTTGATAAGTTAGGAAAACATTGAGGTTTTGGTGAACCTTGTAATATTGGTTGTGCTTTCCAAGCTTACCTTCCACATGCCAAGTTAAGTTGTTTATGTCTCTTTGTTCTCCTATCATGCATTCCTGTGAAATATTGATTTGAAGACTTAGTTCTCCTGCTTCAAAGTCTGTAATATCTGGTCTTGATTTCGATTGATTTGTTAAGATACTGGCTTTTGGAAAAGTTAAATGTAAAAGAATACGTTGTGTATTGATCTGTGTCAGGGAGTTACAATATATAGAGACCCTAATGGGCTTAAGTGTAAGGCCCAAACCTAATCCAAACCTAATCCTAATACAGTCAGAATACAGTCAGACTATTTACGGATAAGACAGAATCCAATCATATCTAATCAAATCTAATCATATCATATCTAATATTCTAACACTCCCCCTCAAGCTGGTGCGTATATATTATGAGCACCAAGCTTGTTACAAATGTATTCAACCCGAGGACCTCTAAGAGCTTTAGTGAAAACATCTGCTAGTTGATTAGACGAGTTGACAAAAGCTGTCTTGATTTCTCCTGACTGAATCTTTTCCCGAATGAAGTGACAATCAATCTCTATATGTTTGGTCCTCTCATGAAAAACAAGATTAGAGGATATATGTAGCGCAACTTGATTATCACAGATGAGTGTCATGGGTTGTTTCTGTTCACAAAGATGAAGCTCCTGAATCAACTGCTTTAACCAGATCAACTCACAGGTAGTATTTGCCATTGCACGATACTCAGTTTCTGCACTAGATCGGGAAACAACAGGTTGTTTCTTGCTTTTCCATGAGATTAAGTTTCCTCCGAAGAAGACACAATAACCAGAAGTAGAGCGTCTGTCCGAGGGTGATCCTGCCCAATCGGCATCTGAGTAACCACAAATTTCTGTATTTCCCTGATCCGAATACAACAAACCTTTTCCTGGTTCTCCTTTGATGTATCAGAGGATCCTCACAGCAGCATCCCAATGTGAATCACAAGGGGAATCAAGGAACTGACTGGCCGTACTGACAGCGAAAGAAATATCTGGCCTAGTCACAGTAAGATAATTGAGCTTCCCAATCAGCCTTCGATAACGTCCAGGATCAGATAACGGCTCC